CATACTGATGGTATGAAACAGGAAGACTGCCTACTGAGAGTTTGCTGTGACCTAACAAGCAAAGTTAGAGAAGTCATTCCTGGTCACATAAGAGATTTCATAGCTTTATTTTTAAAACTTGTGTAATAATTACTAGTTTTTGTGATTATTGGGTATAGCTCTATCATATTTGAATGGCCTTTAGTCCAGCAACATGTAAAGCCAGTGTTGAGCTCAAGATCTGAAGTCAGGTAGCAGCATGATCTTAACCAATGAAGCAGGGATGGTGATCGTACATACCACATACTGCAGTTGTGAGGATAAATAAAATATGCCCAGCTTTGTGACATCCAATATATACTTACCACAGTACAGTACTTGTCATTTCCTATGACCCATTTGTTTCAAGCCTACAGCATCTTCAAGAATGAAGGGTGTGGTGCATAAACAATTAATTATGGATCACTGAAAAAAATTAAATTTAAAAAAAGGAATGAAATAGTATAATGCACTGAGAGTGTCTGTAATCTCTTCTCTTCCTTCTTACTGTAAATTGTGGTCTTCTGTCTCTTCTGGCCACTTGGCTAGCTCTCTCTAAAGGAGTACAGAAATCTTTGAGATGCTGAAGTTCTCTGTCCTACCTGATAATACCATTATCTATCAACTGATAGATTTTTATTTTTTCCTAATTCTTTTTTTACAGTCTCTTAAATATTTTTTTTCCTTATTCTTGATGAGCTTAAATAGTTGTATTTCACATATTTACTTTGAGAAAGGTTTGGTTCACAGCCTTCAGTATTGTTAGCTGTTTTGCATTTTTCTCTTATCTTTTCTGTATGTTTTAGTGTTAACTGTGAGTTGTTTCATTTATTAAGCCACATTCTCTGTTTGTCTAGCATCATTTTGCTCTACAGAGATAACGATTAGTTACCTTTGAGCATTATACTAGTTTGGTATTCTTGACTAACGTTTTTTGGCTAAAAACTCTGACTCAAAAACAATGATTTGCGTGTGTGTGGGTTTTTTTTTTTTTTTTGCATGTGTTTTTAATTTAATAATCCATCAGCTTCACACTTCCCACATATCCCCTGATAGGCATTGTTTTTTTTTCCTTTTTTTTTTTTTTTAAGTTTTTTTTTTTTTGACAGGATTCCCAAGTGGGGGGGGGGGGGGGGTGGAGCAGGCTCTACCTGCTGAGCAGAGAGCCTGATGTGGGGCTCGATCCCAGGACCCTGGGACCATGACCTGAGCTGAAGGCAGAGGCTTTAACCCACTGAGCCACCCAGGTGCCCCAAAGATTTTAATTATTTGACAGAGAGAGATCACAAGTTGCCAGAGAAACAGGCAGAGAGAGTAGGGGAAGTAGGCTTCCTGTTGAGCAGAGAGCCCCATGCAGGGCTCGATCCCAGGACCCTGAGATCATAAACTGAGCCAAAGGCAGAGGCTTAGCCCATTGAGCCATCCAGGCACCCCCTTTTTCCTTTATTTTTACATAAACTCGTTCCCCATTTTTACAGTTAACCTTTGAAATTTTTTTATTTTTCCATGCTTTACAATATATTAATATGTTGAAGTTAATTATAATTTACATTTTATTGTCTAACATATCATGTATATAAATTTTTATTTTGCAATTTATTTTCTTGTGGATACTTCTTTTATAAACGTTTTCGGGTGATGGTCCAGAATTTTATGAGGTCAGTTAAATGCAGCAGCCATTAATGATTTGCTGAAAATGTATTAGTTGATTAGCTTTGTTTATTGCTGATTGGTTGTAGTTCCATTTGTGTTTAAGGTATTTTCCTTAAAATAAGGATAGATAACATGACTCCTTAAACACATGGTATGTATTTTTTCATGTCCTCTAGCATTGAGAGCAAGTATACAATATCATGATCACTGTTAGCCAGTGTGTGCTGTAACATGTTTTCCTGAGTTGTATTCTATAGTATGTGTTGTTTCTCTAGTATATGACCTCTTTCTGGTATATGACCTTTTTTTTTTCCTCTTCTGTTTTTTGAATAGTTTAGCCAAACACGTGTATATGACATGATGAAACAAAGCAAGACTATCACAGTGGCTATTAAAATGCAGGTTTTAGAGTTTCTTGAATTTCTTTAAAGAAACTATGTCCGGGATGCCTGCGTGGCTCAGTTGTTTAAGTGTCCAACTCTTGATTTTGTTCGGGTCATGACTCAGGGTTGTGAGGTCCAGCCCCATGTCAGGCTCTGCATTTAGCATGAATCTGCTTGAGAGTCTCTCCCTCTGCCCCTCCCCCTGCTCTTTCAAACAAATGAGTAAATAAAAATCTGTTTTAAAAAGATGCTAAGTCCAAGAGAATTGGAAACATATTTTTACAGAAATATTTGTACACAAATGTTCATAACAGCATTATTTATGATAGCCAAAAAGTTGAAACAACCTAAATGTTCACCAACAAATGGATAAACAAAATGTAATATATCTATGAATAGAATATTCAGCCAAAGAAATAAACAAAATAGTCATATGTATCACCTATGGATGAATCTTGAAAATATGCTAAGTGAAATAAGTCAGAAATGAAGGCCACATATTCTATGCCTTCATTTATATGTAATGTCCAGAATAGGGAAATGTACAGAAACAGAGTTGATTAGTGGTTTCCAGGGGCTGTGGGAGGGTGACTGCTTAATGGATATCAGTTTATTTTGGAAATGATAAAAATGTTCTGAAATTATATAGTGGAGATGGTTGCACAAGCTTGTGAGTATATAAAAACATTTAATTGTACATTTCAAAATGCTTTAGTGGTAAATTTTATGTAATGTGAATTTATCTCCATAAAAATGAAAAAATATATTAAATAGAGGATATTTAAAAAGCCAGTAGAATTAGTAGAAATGCATTGACATTAAGAAGTGCATAAGTTGGGGCGCCTGGGTGGCTCGGTGGGTTAACCTTCTGCCTTTGGCTCAGGTCATGATCTCAGGGTCTTGGGATCAAGCCCCACATCGGGCTCTCTGCTCAGCAGGGATCCTGCTTCCCCTGTTTCTCTGCCTGCCTCTCTCCCAACTTGTGATCTCTTTCTCTCTGTCAAATAAATAAATAAGATCTTAATTTAAGAAAAAGTGCAAAAGTCGAGATTTTAGGAGAAGTGATAAACATGGATGAGTAGTTACAAAATGATAATACTAAATGTAGTATGTTTTTAGATAAGAAACACTTATTATAGACCTTTACAATACTGAGGGTCCCAATTTCCACAAATGGACTGTCTTCCCCTGTAAAAGGAAGGCAGGTAAATAGTCATTGATGGGATGGGTGGCTGGAGTAGTGAATTCACAAATCTCACTGAAAGAGACTCATGGTGTAGCAGGTACTCTGTTACGAAGAATAGACAGAAGAGAGAGAATTGATACTGCATACCTGAAATGGATGTAAAGAAGGGTTTCATTGGAGAGGTTCTATTTCAACTTGTTTGGGAAGAATGTATAGGACTTATCCATGGTGTGGGATGAGAAGAAAACATGAGAAGTAAGAGGTTTCATCCCAACTTAACTCCTTTTTCTATCCAGAATGGCTTGTCAGTTGTGCATTGGGCCCAATCATTCATTCCTTATATATAATTGAAATAGCTTACAATCATTATTTTTTGGTTTAGTTCTGTAAAGTTCAGTTTTCCTGCAACTTTGGCGTTTCTGCTCAGGGAGGGCCATTAGAACTTTTTTTCTTTTCTTTTTTTTAATCTACAAAAGCTAAGAAAGCATATTTCCCTTTCCCTTTATGAATTTTTCATATGCTCATTTGATGCTTGTGTGCTCTCTGCCCCTTTGCCTGGCCTGAAATCTGCTTCTTACTTATCTAGTTCATCTCTTGCTATTTGCCAATGCAAATGCAAGACTAAAAACAGACTGAAATAGTAAGGGCATGTTGGCAATGTGAGAAAGGAAAGGAAAAAAAGGTAAATAGAATAAGTACTCAAAGAAGGAAATGGGTCAGGGGTGATGGATTGCTATATGAGATTGAGGCAGCAGGAAAGAAAGAAAATGTGGAAAGAGTTTGGGAAGAAATTAGAATGATGCCTATAGGCTCGAAGTAGTGAAGGAAACCATCTCAGGAAATATGTAAAAGTTAAGAGGTTATAAACATTTTTTTTTATTGTGTTGTGAGAATGCTGAACCAGTTGTCCTTTGCAAATATATTTTGATTTAGGGCAGTCTGTAATGTACATATGAAGACTTAGCTTGCTTTTGTGTTGGGGATAGCTGTATACTTTTTGGATATCTTAAAATAATTTTCCCATTAATCCTTATAACCTGTCTGGAAGGTGGGGTTGGTTTTTTTTTTAAATACCTTTACCATATTTTCATGAATGTTATTTGTACCAAACTTCTTATAATTGCTTAAAATGAACTAAGTTATTATGAAAGGTGTAGATGCAAAGAATTTACAATGGAATATCAAGGTAGGGGTCTTTTTTGTAATCATACTACTGAAGGATAGCTGAGTATGCTACTGCAAAATATGCCACTTTTGCATAAAGATTATTTTCAGCTAAAGATAAAAAGAAGGATTTATAACAAAAACTCCTCTCCTATTTGCCTAAAAGTAGGACATAAAGTTTCGAAGGTGTCTTCTGTCCCCCCTCTATTAGAACAGACAAAATTTAATTCCCTGAGAAATCATTAGAACTTAGCAACCTGGAGATGGCTCTGGAGGAATAGACATTAAAAATTTTACTGACTATTCCTTATCTACTGTTGGCTTGCCTACCTAGTATTTTTCTTTGTCCTGTCTTTTCTCCACATTTATCATTCTTTTTGTTGAAGATGCTATATATGCTGAAGTTCTAAGCCACCTCTTTAAGTTACTCAGTTTTCCCTGAGTAACCACCATGAGATACTCTTGTTAGTAAACTGTTTGATTTTCTCTTGTTGATCTGTTATTTATTACAGGGGGTCTCAGCTAGGAATTTAGGAGAAAATAATTTTCTCTCTCATACAGTACTGTAATTTTCTGTTGCATAATAATTTACTTACATAGTTTTCGAAATTGAATTCCTGTAATAGAGGTACTAAAGTGAGCCAGCATCATCTCTGAGGGTGTTCATTTTTAACAATAATAAAACTATTTCTGATTATATGGAAGAGTTATATAAAATACAAAATAATAGAAAAATGGATATTATAAGAAATTACTAATATTAAAGTGGTTCAGATTATACCACAGATATGTCTTCAAAAAAATATGTGAATTTTTCATTAGTTATTATGTTATAGGTAAGAGAAAAGTTTTTATTTTCTTATGTATATGGTTTTTGCCAGTTTATTTTCTTGTGGCACAGGCAGAATAAGGAATTAGAAAGTAGTGGTAACTTAGCTAACAAGTAGCTTATGAAGTTTGTAGTTGTTATGGTAAGACCTAGATAAGCTATAGCAAGATGAGTAAAAAAATACATACTTCAAAGTTCATAATTAAGGAATTACTAATCTGTAAATTTGATGAATGGGCTGGGTAGCCAAAATGGTTTATCTGGTTCAGTTACCATTGATAAGTCTGTATAATGGCTTTGCAATTGATTATTCTGTCACACCAGAATTTCTTTTTTTTTTTTTTTTAAAGATTTTATTTATTTATTTGACAGACAGAGATCACAAGTAGGCAGAGAGGCAGGCAGAGAGAGAGAGAAGGGGAAGCAGGCTCCCTGCTGCCCAGAGAGCCCGAAGCGGGGCTCGATCCCAGTACCCTGGGATCATGACCTGAGTTGAAGGCAGAGGCTTTAACCCACTGAGCCACCCAGGCGCCCCTCACACCAGAATTTCTTAAATGATACATATTAAAATTACTGAAGTAGAAAAATATAAAATTACATCAGGGTATTAGGATGCCTTACAGCTTTCTTCCTGCCTCATTCCTCTCCTGTATTATACCTCCTTTCTTATATTCTAAGTATACTTCTCTGATAAAAAAAAATGAGTGACATAGGAGAGAGAACCAAAGGAGGACTTCCTCATATTAAAAATATCATTCTTTTTCCTATCCTGTATTACACAAACAGTATATATTACAAATGAAAACTGGAAAAATCTAGATAAGCAGAACAAAGGTAAGTAGTCATCTATAATTCTAATGCCAAGAGATTATAACCAATTCCATTTTTTTCCCTTCTAGATTTGTTTTTCCTGTGTGTATGTAGTCACATAAATGATTATATATTTTTCAAATTTTTTATGGCTTGTGTTTCACATTTAGTTTTATAACATGAACATCTTCTGTGTCAGGAAATATTATTCTCCATTATTTTAATAGACAGATATTATTCCATTTATGGATGAACATAGTTTATTTAACATTTTATCTCTTGAGGATAAATTCTTTGAGCAGAATTGATGATTCAAATAATAACTATATTTTATACTTTTAATATTTATAAATTCCACTAGGAAATTTTTATCAATTTGCATATTTATCTGCAATGAATTAAAGTACTGATTAGCTATGTCCTTAATAATTTTGGGTGTTTTTTTTTCTCTTTTATCTGCCATTGTTAAGACAAAGTATCATATCTTCTTAAATTCTATTAGTAATTTAAAAAATTATATTACATTAGATTTGATGTATCTATATCTATGTATCTCTATCCTACCTTTCTCTATTTATCTGCCTATACATAGATGAATATATATACTCACATATATGTATTAAGAATTTTTAAAATATTGTGAACTTGTATTTTGATGATATGTTTGGTCTATACATCAGTTTTATTGACAAGAAAATTGAGCACTTCCCTTTCTTCAAATTTATAGTAACTACATAAAAATATTGTTAACATTAAAGGAAAATACTACAATCACACTGATAAAGGGTACAGCTAGCTTAAAAATATAGTTAATAAACAAAGATTTTATGCACCCATATATAAACAGGAAACAGATAAAAATTGTAATTTGTAAATAGGGCACCTGTCCTAAAATGTATTAAGTGATGTTTAGGTTAGATGAGCCTATGGTCAAAATATATGATTAATAATGTGGATGGGATGTTTTATGGCTAACTTGGTAATAAATTCATTTATGTTAGAGTGTTTTATTCATGGGCATAGTGGAAGGTATAAATATTTTGGATTATTCAAGAGATAATATCTGATATTTGATAGGTATATTTGATATTTGATATTTGGAAGGGACATAAATGAAGTAGAGTGGTGGGGGGAGAAGATTAATCACAGTATCATGAGAAATGTTTGAAGAAAATAAGGATGGTTTAGTTGGAATGAGTTAAGATTCAAGAATGGCACCTTTATATATAAATGCTAGAGGGGCTATCAATGCAGATTATGGTTTGTTTTTATTTGTATGCAGGAAAAAGATTTCTTATGAAAGAATGAGGAGTCATAATTATAATAAATGTTATGTAACAATGTCCATAGTTGGATCAAACATTTCCCAAAGGAAATTTTTGGTATATTCTCTCAGTGGACCTCTTTGTTCAGAGACTGGACATTGACCTAGCAAGGTTATAGTGGAGATGATTTTGTCATTTGAACGGTAGTTGAACCAGATTACATTTAAAGCCATTTACAGCCCAGAGATTAAATATAAGTTCAAAAACTTGAACAACTGAGGGACTTTATGATATTCTATCCATTATAGCACTAGAATGTAATGTGTGGAAAAAAATATGGTGTTTTACAACATATTTACAAATCTAAAATTTGAAATAGTCTGTTTTATGATAACTGGGTTTTTGTCTTAGTGAACTTACCAAGCTCTTTATATTCATCTCCTGATGCTCAGATTATACTGCATGATTAAAAAGCTAAAAATTTTTCTTAGTAAATTTTAAAATGAATAAGTTGAGAATTAAGATTTCATTTTGATTGTGTTAATTTTATAAAGAAATATGAAGAATAGAGGAGTTCCGACACTGATGGCAATTTGACAGAAACAAAGATATTTCATATTGCAGTAAGAAAATTGACAGCAGAATTGGGAAATAAATCAGAGTACAAGTTAGTAGAAATAAAGTGGTATGGAGTTGAAAGGCAAATAAGGAAGGGAGGAAACTGAGATAGATTGCACCATGTGAGATTTTCAATTATTTTCTGTTTCTAGTGGAATAGATTAAGCTATATGCTAAGGATAAAATGGAAAATATATCACCAAGTATCTGTCATCATAGAAATGGAAGGATAATAAGAAAAGTAGGAGTCTGAAAACTAGAATGAAAGGAAACAACTCATTTATTGTTGTTGGAAAATAGTTGGTAAATGTTAGATAAGCATAGAAATAAGAACGTAATTTAAGTTATTCTCAGTTTTAAGTATTTTAAGTTCATTTAATAATGTATGGAAGGTACAGAAACTAGAAATTCCAAGGAACATAGTTAAATGAGGGCCATCTATACAGGTTTTAAAGCTAAGTAGTTGGGTTGAAGGTGCGCAGAATCATGTTAGGTCTAGAAAGATCTCAAAGATCTTTTAGTCGAACTCCGTAATTAACAAATGGACTGTATTCCTGAGAAGCGCGTTCTCAATATGGACTCAAAAGGGAATTCACTAATTTATAAGATAATATATTCTAGTTTTAAATAGCTTTTATTTATAAACTTAATATATTATTATATAATATATTTTATATTATAAGCTTATTATAAAGATACAAAATGAAAAAGGTAAGTTACCTTTTGTCTAGTTTTACCCAAGTTCAAACTCCTTTAAGAAAAAAATCTACACATTGATGGGCCAGTGACATCAATTTTTTTTAATGTGTTGAAATTTGACTTTTAATCATGGATAAAATTAGATGAGAGAGGTGAAACTGTAAAAAAGAACAAAGACTAATAGTGGAGATGGCAGTTAACACAGTCTACCAAAAGTGATCTGTCATGACAAGTAGAAGGTAGTGCAGGAGGAAGCAGGTGAAGAGGATGAAAATTATGAGAAAAAAAAGCCCAGCAACAGGACTAGGATCTCAGTTGGGAGATCCCAATTGGTATAAACAGACTCTGTCAGTAAGGGTTCTCTCTGTATTCTCTGATAATTTTAGACAATTTATGTTAAATTGACTCAGATTCTCTTCTGATCTGAAGAGGGGACAATAGAAGTTGGGAACAACAGAGGACAAACTGGTGAATGCCTAGGTAGGGTTTGGGTAGGGTGGGAGGATTGAAGACCAAGTCCCTTAAATATGAGTTGATTAAATGTCATGTGGGGCTGTTGCATAGAAACATGAGCATGGGTTAGACCCATGTTTTTCATTGCTTAGCGATATCCTAGGCAAGTTACCTTACTTTTCTTCTCTTAATATTCCCATCTATGAAATAGGGAAAGTAATTACACCTACATGACAGGGTTAGTGTAAGAATTACATGGATCATATATGTAAAGCACAGACCATTGTGCCTGTGCTTTCTGTGACATCATTGAATGCTGTTATTAATAATGATACTGTCAGAAAGACATTTGCTTTGATATGTTAATATTTATGGAACATATATTGGGTTGAGGGAAGTTAAATATAATGATCTTTCTAGTCCTTTAAAATACATACGGGATTTTGGACTTTGGGTAACTCCTTGCCAATGTCCAAACACTGCCTCTCACCATATGTAAATATAAAGGAGATAAGACAGTGACGACCAGACTATGAGTTAATTTAGGGGCCTATTGTGACTATCATCAGTTTTTGTCCTCCTTGTAATTGTGTTCTACTTTCTCCTTTTATAAGAATAACATAGGTGTATAAGTCACAATAGTGGCTAAATAACTTACTAAAAATATTTCATTATAAAACAGTTTTATTTGAATGTTTGGTTTGAAAATTAAAACTACCTCATTTTAGAAATTTTGCAATATAGTTTTCAGGGCTTTAGACTTTCATCATTAGTATTTTTTATATTATCAGTGGCTCTCTTGAGATTTGACCTCTGAGCCAAGTACTTTCTGAGGTCTTGGAACTTCTTCATCTATACATTCCATCTGTGATGGAGTCACAGGGACTGGAGGTATGCTTCTGCCAAATATAATAACAAAACTGAGGGGAAAATGATGGAGTTTCTAGATTGTAAACAACAGGCAGGACAGAACAATG